GGCAAAGTGGCCCACACCTATCCACATAAAATTATCAGTGAGTCACTCCCTGGGGCACCAAGAAATCTCTTTGACGGAGCAAGTGCCCTATGAAATAACAAAATATGTGTATCTCAGCCTATGCTCAAAGCTTTGTCCCCAGCATTCTACCACAGCAGTTGACCTGGAACAGAATTCCCTTCCCGGCTATTTGATAAGGTCAGTCTGATACAGACCAGAACCTCAGACTATGTCTGGCACCGCACCAGCACAGGCAAGTGTAACAGAGTCCTACCCACACGGCTGTTCCTTATTTTCCAGTAAGAAAACTGGATTGAGGCCAGCCACACATGTCCATGTAAGTCAGCATTGTAGGATAAGCCTTCATGTTTATCACAGGATAAACTAGCCCACAGAAATGGTATCGCTGAGCATGAACACAGTTTCTGAAAAAAAAAAAAACACCACAAAAAAACCCCCACCACCAAAACAAACCACAAACCACCCCCACCTTTCGCAGCACTCTAAAATTGAGAGAAGCCACCATTGCCAGAATTCAGATAAAGGAGGCATAAAAAAGTGTTTATTCCACACTGTCATACCATGTGGGCCGTCCTCAGAACCCATCCATGGCATACCTTCCTCATACCATCAGGCCTAGGCTGCGGCGCGAGTGCTTCGGTATCTGCACACCCACACGTGGTGGGGACACGTCATACAAGGTTCATCAGCTTCAGCAAATCTAGCCAGAATGCAAGAGCAGGTATTTTGGTAACACCTCCTACTCACCAATATCCTAAACCAGCAAAACTAGCGTGTGTCAACTTTGAAATGCACCCACAGAAGCAGTGTGACAGAAATCTAAGACGGATACACATTACTGTGCAACCCGGCTGTTCGGCCCCAGGCTAGCGGTACCCCTCACCAATTCACCTGTCAGTACAATACACAACTTGGTTATTAAAAAGAGTATCAGTCCATGTCCTTAAAAAATCTAAATTTTTATTATACATACTGTATTACACTGAAAATACGTACCCAAAGACAGAATATTTTGAATTTACAACTGTACAAAAAAACAATAGAAAACATACGGGCTATGCTATAGATGTAACATTTTACAAAATGACAGTTCTTGTTAAAGGCACCAGATTCCCAGAGGGCTCTGGCTTAACATTTTTTAGTCTTTTTTTTTTTCCAGTCAGATCTTACTATGAAAACACGATTCACTCTTAAACTGTATGATGTCAAAGTCTCAAACTTCTTTTATCTAGACGAGTGGTCTGCACTTTGACAGAGCTTACTGAAAGAAGTGACCAATTTCACACAGAGATGTCAAGCAATGACCAAAGGCTCCTCCCCATTGCATCCAGCATCCTACGGTATTCAACTCAATGATTAAGTGGTAAAGTGAAAATCAAGTTAACCCACAAAATACTGGCCCAATTCTAGAGTGTTAACCACACTAAGCCTAGAACGTCTTGTATGGAGATAACTGCAGAGCGCCAGAGAGGGAAAAGACATTCTGTCAAAAAGCAAGATGGAATCCATGACCAGAACTCTTGCTCAGCGCCCTCCTTGGGCTCACCTTCGTTACAGTCATTTCCCTCCTGGTCCTCATGGCACTCATGGAAGAAAACGGAGCCTAAAGAAACCCAGCACTTTTCTGTAGGACAAGTGGTTAAGGAAGCCGGGGGATGGATGCATGCGCTCTTTCTGCCCTAAGGATAAGAAGTCCGGACAGGGAACACAAGCCACTTTCATTGCGTCTCTCTGCAGCATCCCATACTCTGAGGTCAAGCAAGCCAATTCGTATCATGCCTAGGCTGGCACAGACAGGTGCTTCTTTACAAGCAAAGGCAAGAGAAGCTGGGACATCCTGCCTTGCTGAGGTGCCGTAATGCACTTTAGGAAACCGCAAGCCCAGACTTCCAAAACTTCATGCTTGGATAAAGGGAAA